AACTATTTTATTAAACAATTATCTTGTTTTTTGAAATAAAAACCTTAGAAAGTGAGCTTAGCAAAAATTAAAAACATAAATCCCTTATAAAATAATAAGTGCTTGTTAAAGATACGTCAGATAAAAGAAAACTAAAAATATTAAGAGAAAAACATAATTTTTTTTTTCCAATTTGCAAAAATATTTTAATGATTTTTTTTTCGCAAAATTTTTAGCTATAAGTCGAAAATTGAGACAAAAAACAATAAAGCAGACTAATCCCAAAAGAGTTTTTATATTGCATATCATGCAATATAAAAAGTACTACAACTGTACAGAAGTACTACATATAAAAGTACTACAACTGTTGTTTTCCAATTTACAAAAATATTTTAATGTTTTTTTTTTCTCAAAATTTTTAGCTATAAGCGAAAATTGAGACAAAAAACAATAAAACAGACTAATCCCAAAAGAGTTTTTATATTGCATATCATGCAATATAAAAAGTACTACAACTGTACAGAAGTCGATTAATTCAGAACACCTACTAAAAATTTAAACGACTTGAGAAACTTCATGAGCCTCATAATAAAAAAAGAAACTTATAATAGAAAACTAATTTGAAAAATACTTAACATCTACAACTATAATCAGTAACACGATTTGTTTTTTTGACACACAAGCAATAATCTCGCCAAATTTACGATCGAAATGCCAAAACGAAAAAAAATTGTAAAGCAAAATACCATAACTTTCATTGAAAACAACAACGAAAGGTAAAGAACATTTAACTGTGTGGGTGATCTCTTAGCCGGTCAAATAAATAAGAAAGAAAATGAAATCATTAATTCTTTTTGAAGGAATTGTACTTAACATTCTAAGCCAAACGATCGATCCAAAACATTAACTTAATCATTAGTATTCCACGAAAAGAATCGAATCCAGTTAGTTAGTTAGTCTTAATTGCAAAGGTCGCCAATGGCTGAGCTTAGGAGTCAATTTCACTGACAGGCTCGAACTTTTGATGTATAATTGCGTAAGAATAACGTAGCCTGCGGGCGTTTTGTGCTTATGTCCTGACGTTTATTGTTTATAATATCAACTTTAAGCTGCGTTATAATCTTTATTAATGATTCAAATAAAAATTAAGGTTGCTGTTTTTGATGATAATGTACATTGATTGAATTGCTGTATCAGAAGGTTTCATCTAAGCCAAAGCTTGTTTTTAAGATATTTGAATTTCACCGACGTTAATGTTTCCAACAATGGAACGAAATATTTCATGTAGAATAAAATAATAAGGACTGCGCAAATTACATTTAATTTTTAAGAATTTCACGGAAAATGATGTTTTTTGTTATCGTAATATAATGTTATACATGTTAAAATAGGGAGAATAAAGGCTATAGGCTATAATTTTTTCAAAATTTATGATTTTTGTAATAATAAACGATTTGAGGTCATTAATATTTAATGAAATGATGAGGTGGCATGCACTACATTACATAACTTATAACGAAAATTACAATTTTTATAATTATAAATAGAATACGAGGTTATTTTTATCATATGAAATAATAATGACATAACATGAATGTTAATCGAATTTCACAAAAATCCTTATTTTAAGCAAAAGTAATAATGTCATTTTTATAGGATGGAATTGTTAAATTTGAAAGAAATTTTACAAAATTCATAATTTTGGTAAAAGCAGCGTGAGATTAATACATATTAAATTTTAAACGAGTTCCATCAAAATTTAATTCTGAGATATTACAGATAGATAGATTTGAATTGATGAGGATATAAATACTATGCTATATTAAATTTTTTACGAATTTAATCGAAATTTACAATTTCCGAAACATTATGTAATAGATTATATTGAATCTTTTAACGAATTCCTCCGACATTTACAATTTTTGCAATATTATGAGATCTTTTATTTAAAATGACATACTGAAGATGTTACGTATTTCAGTAAAACAACTTATTCGCAAAATTCAATGAAATTTATAATTTCTGTGTTACACAACATGTTTCCATTGCGTTGCTAAGTTTATTTTTGTTGACTTTTATCATCAAATGTATATGAAAATTAGAATATTTCATTGCATTTCTTAATCGATAGCGCGAAAACATATTCATTAAAAATCACGAATAAGGTAATAATTTCGAAGTGAAAATTTCCCAACAAACAATAATAAACCATACAGCATTGTTCTCACTTCAAATCAATGACGGCTGTTCAAATAATGTGAAAAACAATAATAGCAAGCTATGTGTTGACTTGCCTTCATTACCACCAAGCCAATAACAACTGAATCAATATTTGAATTCATTCTGGGCTATTTCCTGAAGTTAGGTTAGAAAAAAAAATCTAATTTGGTTTTGAAAATGATAGAATTGTGAAATAGTTATTCATTTTTTTACACCAAAATAATGATTATAGGAAAATTTCACATTAATAAAAGTGAATTTAACAGATTCAAAATGTTTGGATTTTATTGAACATTTATTTGCCTACATATATTTTGTCTAGATATTGAAGCGGTTTTATAACTTTTAAATTTTATTGAAGATTTCACTTTTAATAAAAGCAAAAAATGTTTCAAATAAGTTTCAAAAACTAAAATAATATCCTCCGAAAACTTCTTTATTTTACATTCTGACTTTTTTACAAAAGGATGCGGTTTTATATCTAAAATAATATAGATAAGTTCATTAAAACAAGATAATTAAAATTTCGCCATAATTTCATTACAAAGCTATAACAATATTTATGTTGTTATAGCTTATAATAATCTTTATGTTGTAATAGTCTTATATACTTTATTATTATATTTAGATTCAAATTTTGGGGCCCTCATTTACAGTCGTAAATAATAACCAAGCGGTGCGGGGGGGGGGCATATGAAGTTTGACAGCACTCGCCAGAATAAATAAAACTTGAAATAAAAATATTTTTTATTTAAATAATATTTTTTTAGTTTATACTTTATAAATAATAATAACCCTTAACTAAACTACGCTTAATAATTACTGTAAGAGAGTGAATTATTTTCTCCGATTATTAAGAAAAATTTCGTTTTAATATGATAAGTGTATACAGTGTTTCAATTTATAACTTTAATTCTACCTTTTCATCGTAATTGTTGTTTCCATTTTCTCAGATTAAAATATAAATTTTAAACTTTTTTGGTAAAATTAAGATAAGGGGCACTTACAAATCTTTGCAGGGAGGGGGGCAAGTCTATGTACTCTACTGTTTCTAAGATAATGTATAGTTGTTTAAAATATCACTTTTTTTTCCATACCTATTTTTAATTCCCTTTTGCATTTTGCGTTCAAGGTATGATAAGAATAAAATGCAACAACAAAAACATTTTCATTGATATTATACTTTTAAAAGCAATTCTAAAAACGTTTAAACAAAACATTTTAATTTTTTATAAGTATATGAAAGCAATTCTAGAACTTGTAGAAAAGTTGTTTCTTGTTTATGATCAAATAAAAAAATTATTATATTTAATCCTATGATCTGCAATGCCTGTTTTCAATTAATAAAATAAATATTACGTTGAAACAGGCAGGAGGATGACAGTATTGACGAAGTGTTATGGAAATATAAATGGCAAAGAATAAAACGTAAACACATATTCATGTCCTAGAAACACATCAAAATCTAAAATAACTAAATCACCTACCTTCATGGGAAGAAAAATATCCATTAGAAGAATAAGCTGAAAAAGTACTTTGAAACATTTAACTCCTCTATATGAGAGTACAAAGTAAATATTGCATACATTTGTTCAGATTAAAAGTAGAAACATCGTTGTTATTGAAATCGTTAACCTATACAACATGGAGAAAACCAACTAACATATTTCACTAGAAAAATAGTAAAGTTGACGTAAGAATTATGGATATAATCTTTATGAACTCAAATGACACGAAACATATTATGTTTTTAGTAATAGTGTGTGAAGTGAATAGCTTGGTTGCATAAGTAAAAATTGGAGTTGAGGAGAAATGAAATCTAATTGATGAACGATAAACTGAAAAAACTTGATTCCCACCAAGAAAGGTAGATTCAAGGTGAAATATATCAAGATAAAAGTAGAGAATGCATAAAATTCGAATGTCTGGAAATTGATTCAAATTAGAAAACAAAATCGGCAATATCTCCAATAACACCAAAGTTTTTCCTATTTAAGATGCAGTACAGATTAGAAAACCAAATACCAAAAACAATGATGACGAAACTTCTCTTAAAATTACTTTTGCCAAATATTTATGTATAAATATTTGGCAATTAATAAAATAAAATAGACCTGCTGAATAAAAAAGGAAGAAATTCAGGAAATCAGATTGGATTTAAAAAAAAAATTGTAACAGGAAACACCAGAAAAAGAATATTTAAAAATTTTAACTATCACTAAAATAAAGACAGAAAATGTTCAAATAAATAAATATTTGCATTAGAACAAAATTGGGAATACAAACAATAATGTAAAAAAAAATCGTAATGAAGATGTTTATAACCATCTTCAATAAGATATAGCCGTGTTATAAATAATAAAATTTCAACTAATGTTTGTTTTTTTTGTACAAAAAAGTTGCTTAAGTCAATGCATTTTTCTAGATATACTTAATAATAATAGAAATGATAAATAAGATCATTATTTGAAAAGAAAATCTTTGTCGCAACTTTTTCCAAAAGAATTTAAAACTGTCCATATATTTTGTTTTCAATTTCTTTTAAATTAAGTTCAAATTAAAAGTTTTGAGTTTAATTAATAAAGTTTTAAATTAAAAGTTTTTTTTAATTAATGTAGAGATATTAAAAACGCTAACAACTAAATGTTAGTTTCTTGATATTTTAAGAATTAAAACTTTAAAGCTTGTATAACTTTAATTTTATGCAATATTTAAACAATGTAAACAAACACAAATTGATGATTTTTTTCCTCATAAATAAAACACGAAGATTTAAAACTGTAATGCTGATAACACAATACTCATATAAGAATTGTTTATGATATATCAATATTTAAACTCAAGAAAAACATTTAACAAATCAGGAAATTCCCATGCAACTACCATTCATAATAAAACAAAACAAAACAATAACACAAATAAAAATACAACAATTTCTCAAGATGGCAATTTTATTTTACAGAGTTCATATTTTTTGAACTAATGACACAAAAATTGGTGCAAACATAAAAAATGCAACAGCATCACTCATCTTATTTACAAACAAAATAATAAAAACGCTTTTTTTCCACAATATCAACAAGGGGTAAAGATAAAAAAAAATGTACAGCATTGCATTTTTAAGGATTTTAACAGCATTTTTAAAAAAAGGAAAGCACTTTAAATAAAAGCAAAGATAAAAGAAAATTGAAATAAAAAAGTCGAAATCATGCTCCAAGAACACTATAATCTTAAGCTCATGCAGCAATGTCAAACATGCAAGTTTTTTATGATTTTGGCGTGATTAATACTTAGTCGATTTAAGGCACTATGTGAAAATGCATTTACAAAATCATTGAAAATAATAGTTATATTTCTTTAATATAAAGGTATATTTCAAAGAAGAATTTTAGAACAAAAGATACACGTTTAATTTAAAATTTTTAAACAAAAGATGTTAAGTTTATTTCTATATTTTAAATGCGTGTAAATTAAATTCTTCTAATAAAAATTGGCTTTTTTTTCTAATTACAAGCACTTTAATCAACCTAAAAGAAAAATAATTGGACCTTTAAGTTAAGATTTTGCAATTTCAATGAATGGATTTAAATTTTGCAATTTCAATAGGTTAAAATTTTGTAACTTCAATGAGATAAAATTTTGAAATTTCAATGTTCGTAATTTTTTTAAAAAACAGAATGAAATATAATTAAAGCTAATATAACTATTATTTTTTTACACGCTACTTTGAAACAGCTGTAAAAATTTTGATTTTCTATAAAAATTTATCTACAAATAAAGAGAACTAAAATATATATGTAACACATCAAACTTTCAAGACAAATAAAATTGAATGAATAAAAATTTTGTTCTCACAATTTAATGTCACATAAAAGTGTAATAAAAAACTAAATTTTTCATTTTAAAATTCTTCATGCACTGGGTTGAATAATAAATAATAACAAAAGATTCATATTTCTGTTTTTTTTTTTTTTATCTGAGTTGAGTTGTAATTATTTACCAAAGATTCAAAATTCTTACTTCAATCTATGTAGAATATTAACTAAAGATTAGGATATAAGTTTTGGATCCAAATTGAATAATAAATAACAAACAAAAAAACATAATTCTGCTTTTAATTTCAGAATTAAAAATAATTGTTATAATTTTTTATTTTAAACTTTAGTTAAATTACAAATAATAAGAAAAGATTCAGACTTCTGTTCTTTCAATTTGGGTAGAATTATTATTTGGGATAATAAATTAACAAATAATTTATTTAAATTATTTGTTAATTATATAATAATTAATTGTATAATAATTAATTATACATAATATTATTTATAATTAATTACATAATGATATTAACAAATAATTTATATAAATTTGGGATAATTAATTAACAAATGAATCTTATTTCTGTTTACAATCTGGAAAGAGCTATAAATAATAACAAAAGATTTAGATATCTGTTTTCGATTCAAGTTGAATAAAAAATCGTATAAAAAATCATAATTCTGTTTTAAATTTGAGAATTAACATTCATATTTCTGTTTTAAATCTGGATAGAATTATAAACATTAATAAAATATTCATATTCTTGTCTTCTATCTTGATGATTGAATTCTAAATAATAACATCAGACTAATATTTTGATTTTGATTTAAGGCACAAATAAGCGTATATTTTCACAAGTCATTATATTGCTTTTTAATGAAATGAATGTTATCTACATAATACGAATGAAATAAATATTATCTACAAGTTTAAAAAATGAGGTAAAAAATGCTCTGAATTTAAGGAAATCTTAGAAAATATTCAATGAGATCAGGAAGGGGAAAAACATGAAAGACAATCAATAACTAATATTGCATAACATGTTGTCGACTGTAATGGATTATTTTTATCGTAGACTCAGAATGAAAACAAGTGTGCAATACTGATAGAAGAATTAAGAATGCATAGGTAGGAAGAAAAAAAAGAGAGAACGTTAGCGCTGATGTAAAATAAAGAAGTATAAAATAGCAGACGAATAATTAGACGCCGATTCCAGCAGTGCGTAGAAAAAGATTGTGAAAGCTTAGAAAAATGTGATAAATATTTTTTTTTTCTGGAAAATATCACGTCATACTGTAATTTGAAAGAAGAGGAAAACGCCGTGTGAAAAAAAAGCACATGAATTGCTGCTTAAATTCAACCCTGCACGAAAAAATGGCTAATAAATTACTAACACAATGATAAATTACATGTACATCGTATGGAATCGCAACCAGCTAGAAAAAAAAATGTATGCAACAACTCTTGAGTTTTTCACTTAACTCAAGAGCAAGATGAAATGGTGAATATTTTTTTCTTTTTTTAAAAAAAGCAAAAATTATGAGTTCATTTTGCACTACAACTACGCATCATCACAGTTAAAAAATGATTTTATGGGAGAAAATCTTGTCATAGTTTATTCCTACCTGGATACATGCCCGGGTGAAAAAATGCACCCGAAAGTCCAGCATAGTAGCCTGGAAATCCAGCATACATATATGGAAACAATCCACCAGACTCTGATGTGGGCATAGGAAAGTCTGCCATGTTGCCAGCACGTTGGGGTGATTGGTGAACGTTGCCCACATTGTTTCCATTTATTGCATCTGTTGAGTCTTTGTCCTCTTTCCTAGATTGAGGCAGCTGATTAGATGTTGATGTAGATGGTTGAACATCAGATTTGGAATCAACTTTATCGCCAGTTGTATTACTAATGCATTTGTTCAGAACATGATGTTCCTTAGAATCGTTCCTAGATGTTTGTGAGTTAGAAGAAGAAATGGAAGATGTAGAAGTGGGTGGGGAGCCAGTTGTATTTACACCCATAGCATTAGTAGGACCATTGGTCATATTTGGAAAACCAGGTAAGCCCATGGGCATTCCCGGCATCTGTTGCAGTCCCATCATATGCAACTGTTGCATCAGACTAGGTGGGTTTGACCCGGAGGATGCACCTGATGGTTTCAACAAATCAGCTTCATCTTGGTGTATATTTTGTTGCGAATGCACAAGCTGATTAAGAACACTACTTGAAGTAGCGGGAGAGTGATCGAGCCGTTCTATGTTATCTTGCCCTTCGGTCAGTTTCTTCATTTTTGCAATGTGAACTTTTAGATTCTCAAGATGGCGCTTGGAGAAAATATGATCTTGCATGCTAGTATTCGAGAATTTGATGTTATATTTTACTTTGCAAATGGTACATTCCTCAGGCAGTTTTGGCAAATCCATCTCGTGACCAAAGGCTTTCATGAAAGCAAGTTTAGCCTTTTTTTCCTTGGCTCGGGCATTTTGGAACCATACTTGCACTACCCTTTTTGGCAATCCAATTTCTCTGCCAAGTGTCTCACATTCTGCCATTGACGGTGTTTTGTAATCCGCAAATATGGATTTCATGACCTTCAGTTGCAATGTAGACATTTGGGTTCGAAATCTTTTATTACCTCCCGAACCCTGATGACCAGAGTTCGATGGTGATGTAGGATTGCTTTCATGGGACATGTCCAAGTGGTCATCAAAATCCATATTTTCAGTCGATTCGGAATGCGTTTCAGATCGAGCATCATCGTAACTCATATAGCTCTTGTTCATAGCATCTTCATAGCTCTTATCACTAAAATTTGTCGGAGCACCATCACTACTTTTTTCAAAATCAATGCTTGCTTTAACAGGTTTGCTAAGGTCTAGTGGTGAATCTCCTACACTTCCAGCCTGTTTAGCTGGTGGTTTATTACTTAGATCAGCAGCTGGGGTGTTGGGCGTATCCTTCGAGCATGTGCTTGTTGTGGGATATGCAAGATCATCCAAATATTTTTTCAAAGAATCTTCATAATACTTTTTCATGGAGTTTTGAACCAGTTCTAAATTTTGAGCAGTAAAGCTCGGTGTAGATGTTGTTGTTGGAGTACTGGAGGAAAATCCAGGGTATATACTATTTTTTATATCCTCGGAAGCATTTGATGCTGAAGGAGTTTCAGGATTTGAGTCCATCTCACCATCTGGAAGAGAATCTATGTTGATATCCCCTCTAGTATATTGATCTGCATGTCTTGTGGCGAGATGGGATTCTAGAGCCGACCTGGCTTTAAACAGTGCTCGACAGAATGGACAACGTTTGTGTATTACTTGCTGATGAGCTCGAAACTGACCCTTTCTTTCCCTTGCTCTTGTATTTTGAAACCACACTTGGACCACTCTTTTTTTCAGACCAACTTCTCGTGCAATATTTTCTAGCATTTTCCTACTAGGATTACTTTCGACTTGGTATTTTTGATACAAATAATCCAGTTGCTCAGGAAGGATAGTAGTCCTGAGCCGTTTATCTTTGGGTTGATCACCCAAGTCTTTTAATTCCTCGTCTTCTGAAAGTTTTCTTTTTAACGGTGGAGTAGGGGGTTGCTGAGCCTCATATTGTAAAATTCCGAAGGAGGAATTGGGGGAATAGTTAGGGAATAGGTTGGGATTCATGATATGCACTATTTGATGTTCTTTCCAGTGATCAAAATGTATAAAAGATAGGCTACACTTGTCACAACGGTAAGGTCCATTTTGAGAAAACTTATCAGGTGTCCTGGTCGTGATTGACGATGCTTCAGATACGCTACTGTTCTGAGATTTTTCATCCATGACGGATGCAGCAGCTTTCATTTGAATCGCTAGGGGGTTCTCGTCTTTAAAACAAGAACTTTTTTGATGTTTGATAAGCTCGTAATACCGCTGGAAAACTTGTAAACATTTTTTGCACTGATAATTGAGACCCGGAGTTCTCTGAAATTTTCCAGCACTATCATCATCGGTGTTAATCGGTGGTTGGTTCTCGTACACTTTACGAGCTTTCTGTCTAGCGTTCTGGAACCACACCACAATCACTCTAGGACTGAGGCTCAGCAACTTCGACAGATATTCCAAGTCGTCATCCTTAGGATATGCGTTGGTCTCGAAAAATTCTTGAAGCACTTTGATCTGATAATCTGTGAAGCGTGTACGATTGGCTCGTTTACCACTACCAGTTCCACCACCAGTAGAACTGGAACCACAGTAAGATGGACTATTAAAGCCCCGCGGTGAGTCGGATGTAGGAGGAGATGATGCAGTTGGCATGATGGGTCCACTTATAGATGATACAGAGCTGAAATTAATGGACGGCTGAGGTGAGGGTGTAGATGATTCAGAGTGCATTACATAAACATCTTTACAATCGTCTTTAGTATTAGTATGTTTCAAATCAACTGCCGAAAAGGATGGAAGTGACATAGATACTGATGGTGTCAAAGACATAGATGATGATGGTATGTCCATTTTGGGTATGCTGATCTTATCTTCGTGAATATGAGTTGGGTATTCAATTTCATGTTTATCTTTATCTTCTTGGGATGAATCAGTATCATCCACTAAACTTCGGCCATCTTCACTTTGATTTGTTGAATCAGCATCTCCTTTCGACAAAAAATCGTTTCGGTTAAGAGGTATTACTTTGGCCTCACCTGTTTTTTCATATTCTTCTAAGTTAAGAAATGTTGACGGAGGATTATTAAAGTTATATGGAGAATCTTTATTGCGTTGTCTTTCCTTGAACAAGGTGTTTCGGAACCAATGTTTTATCACTTTTAATGGCAAACCAGACTTGTCAGACATTTCTATTAGTTGTTCTTCTGTGGGAGAGTTATTGATATCGAAATAGGTTCTTAAAATTTTTAATTGCTCATCATTGATTCTAGTTCTGGCTCTCTTTTGCTGTGCTTGAGCAGCTGCAGCGGCCGCCGATTGCTGTTGTTGATGATGCATCATCTTTTGCTGCGCAGCAAAATAAGTCGATTCAACACCACCAGGCATCATAGGATGATTAAATGCAGATGCCATCAGTGGATCCATAGGAGGCGGCAAAAGCACTGGAATCAAAGGTGGGTGAAGATTCATCGCTGCAGCTGCTGCAAACGGCATATTCAAGTTCATGCCCATAGGTAGACCCATGCCAAGGCCCATGCTCATGAGGAGTTGATTAAATTGTAGCTGGGCAGCCATTTGGTTAGCAGTAACAGAAGATGAGACATCGGGTAATTGAGAGGATAAGCTTGTTGCAGGTGGAGTTGCTGAAGTTTGCTGTGTTGATGAAGTTACTGAAGATGGAGTAGGACATAAAGGGGCTTCTGAATTTATGCTTGAAGCAGGTGGATTAACATCATTCACATTTTCTTCAGATACCATTGGAAGTATTAGTTGGTCATTATTTTGTTTCTCGTACAATGCTCTGTAACTTTCAGCAAATTTAAGAAGAAAGTCAAAGGGAACTATTTCTTTGTGGATTTCTTCTCTGTGTGTTTTCAAGACCCAAATGCAAGAAAATTCTTTAGAGCAGATATCACATACTGAGCGATTAATTTCGGGTAAATCAGCCATATTACTCTTTTTGTCTTTTTCTTCAACTCCCAAGCCTTCTTCGACTACAACATCGTCTTTTGCTGCTTCAGATTTTACGCTTTCTTGAACTGAGTCTTCCGGCTTATTTTCTTTCAGTTGATTTTCTTCATTCTCTTTTCTTTCAATTTTCCTTCGCCTTTGGTTATTTTCATTGAAATGCATGACTACATCAAATCCAAAGCTTTCAACTAAATGCTTATATACCAGAGGTCTCGGTCGAGGAAATGGACATCTTGGCCTCACGGGCAACTGATTCATTTGAGGGCTCAGTTGCGGTGGAGTTATATTAGTTGTGTCAGTAAGAGGTTGATATATGGATGACTTCTGTAGCATATCTTCTTTATCAACAACAGAACGACCAGCTGTGGATTGAATTGTTGGCACTGGTGCAGGAGGTGGAAGTGACTGGGATGATACTGGAGTACTTTTTCCAGAATTGGAGATGGGTGGAGGTGGGTTGAAGAGACAACACATTTGTTGATGCTGAAGTAGTGAGTCATGAGACATAAATATAGCGCTACATCTTGAACAATTAATGAGTGCTTGTGAAGTTGTCTGAGAAGACATGAGGACGGGGGATTGAGGAACAGGAGGCGCAAGTCCTAACGCTTGTGCCATTGAAGTTGCTGCGTCATTCGACAAGTGGAGCTGAGGAGAGGCACTGGTGATAGTAGCAGCCGCAGACGAAGCTGCGATGCTCAAAGGAACTTGTGTCAGATCTGGGATCTTTGGAGCTTGGACAGAAGAAGGAACACTTGTGGCCGGGCCCGACACCTGTAAAGTCTGAGGCAGCATTAAAGAGGAACTTTCATTAGTCACAGTTTGAGGTTGAATAGTTTGAGAAGGTTGTTCGTTTGAAGATTGTTCTGGTCGCTCAATTAGAGGAGCAGTTAAGTCGACCTGTCCAGTAATTGCCAACTCGTGCAGTTTAGATGCGCGAGTTTGATGAAGAACAGATCTTACGTGAATATCTAGTGTCGATCCTTGACTATAAGCCACTTTACAAATATTGCACTTAAAAGGCTTTTTCTCGGAATCAACAGATGACGAATTATTAGACAGAGCGCTACTGTTTGAACTACTAGTAGGAGTAGTGTAAACTGTACCTGCAGAAACAGGAGAATTACTGGTTGCTGCACTTGTTGTGGCAGTAGAGTTATTGCTATTTTCTTTCATACTTAGTTTAACTTTATGTAAATGCGAAACAGAATTATAATGAACTAAAAGAATGTTTTTCTGAGTAAATGATTCCATGCAAATATCGCATTTGAATGGTCTATTGGGGTCTAAATATTTTTCCATAGGGTAACTCATTTTTTCACCTTTTCTATGAAGCAATGTTTTATTGTGACTTGTAAGATAACTTTGCCTTGTAAATGCAACTTTACAGCGATGGCACTTATATTTTCTATTAGGATCGTTATAACTGTCTTCTGCCATAGACTGACTGTTGATATAGTCTTCCAGAATATCTTGGTTGGTGCCCGTTCCTTCTGAAAGTGCCTCCCCAGTCTCTGACTGATCACATTCCATTTCACGCGATGGTGAACTTTCTTTCTCAGATCCCAAATCTACCAATTCATCAGCCATTTCCATGTTCTCTCTAATACTCTCTTTTTTAAGCAACTCTGTAGTTTGAGGATCCAGCACGCCTCCACCTCCACTTGAGAGAAGAGGATTGTTAGCCAGGCTAGCTTTATATTGCTCAAGTTGTTCTTTGGTCATATCAGTGTGAGCAGTTTCGACATGCTTTTGTAAAGCTATCACAGATCGAAAGCTGCGACCACACAGAACGCATTTCGTAGCAGCACGGATCATGTGGTACTGAGAATGCAGCTGCAGTTTCTCCAGGGTTTTAAAAGCAAGACTACATTGATTGCAGCGATATTTGTACACGTGCCTATCTGAAACAGCCAATAAAGGCTTCTTGGAATGCATCTCCTTGAAATGCAACTGAACGGCTGACGATGTTTTGAAAAACTGCAAGCAGCCTTTCTTCCAGCACTGATATTCTAACCCTGATGGTGTGGGCTTAAGTTCCATGTGTCCAAACTCATTCTGATGTGAGAATAAATCATCGACATTAAAGAAAACCTTGCTACAAAACGAACATGCTAAATCTTCGTTAGTTTCAATTTCAGCTGGTCGTTCTTTGCTTTCAGGTGATTTTTTACCATCTCCCTCAGAAGCTTCTTGCTTAGGTGTTACACATTCTTCGTTTTTTGGTTTTGCGTCAAGTGTATTAGATTTGTTTTCAATATGTGACATGTCAACCATGAGAAGAAGTCGCTGCACGCCCTCTTTAGTGACATTGTGAACATCAATGAGATGATTTTCTAAAGCACTGATGTCTTTACACCCTTCTTGACACAAAGGACATGGAATGGTGTTATTTTGGGGTAAATGTTGAGACACAACGTGCATTTGAATTCGAACTTCTGTATTGCTGGTGTAATTGCAAAAGGGACAACGATGAGTTTGTTCAGAAGTAGGCGAATTTTCGTTTGATGTATTGAGTTTTGCCTGATCTAGTAAGGCCTTTTTTAGTCTAGAATCAGATGGTTTTTCTTCCGATTTAGTTGGACTCGTTTTTTCCTCGACTTTCATGGTCTCTTCATCGTTTAGTTCTAACATAGGCGTATCTGGAAAAACAAATCAAATGTCATGTGTTAGTGAGAGTCAATTCATTAAAACTGAAAATTTTTTCAATAAATCTATCTTAATTTAACATAAAAAAATAATTATTTAAAGAAAATATTGCTTTCGAGTCGCATTTTAATCATGAATTAAATTTTGAAAAGAAATGATTAAAACAAAAATTTTAAAGTTTTTTCTACGACATTAAAAACTAATGGAAATTTCAAACAATTTTTATATTATATTCAAAATAAAATTTTAAAAGCTATTTAATGAAAGACAAACATTTTCTTCTTTAACTTAATAAAATTTGTTTGCTATTTTCATATGAGAAATGAATTAAGTTCGGACATCTTCAAAAAGCTTAATATTTTAATTATTCAAATTTCTCATATAATAAAATAAAATTTAATTTATGTGTTATGTAAATAAACACTGCAAATTAGAATTAGTAAAAAAGACATTTTAAATATATAATCATCAAAACTTTCTCCTTTTTTTAAATTTCAATTAACTTTCATTATCATTATAGATTCAATACTAATTAATAACAAATTCAAAATTTTAGAAAAATTTTGATTTATTTTACATATAAAAATATCGTTCTTTTTTGGAGTGTAATGGTGTCTTAGTGAGTTAAAATAACCTATAATGATTTAGAAAAGAAAACAAATATGCATTATTTTATTAAAAAATAGACTAACAAAATGCTAAAAAGTGTTCAAAAAACAAAGGCTAATTAAGATGGAGTTTACAAAAGCTAACATACTAATTAGTTTGATAATTGTATAGGTAAATTAAATTCCGCAATAAAAATAGTCGCAAAAATAAAATAAAAAACGCAATTTAGTTATAATCTAAATAGATACAACTTATGTCACATACCTGAAAATTTGTAGGGCCAATTATAACTAAATTTGGAGGCAAAATATTTTTGTAATCGAAAAAAAAATAACAAAATTAATAATTTTTTCAAATTATTTCTGATATAAGTTCTTTAACACATTCAAATTTAATCGTTTTTCCTTAAATGCATCCAAAATTCTTATTTTTTTCAAGAAATGATAAATAAAACAAAATTTAAACCAGATTTGAATCCATGTAACTTTAAAATTCATTAAACTGAAAATATTTAAGCTCAAATTTTTTTTTAATTAAACAAAGTTTTTCTCGTTCCTTTTTGAAAAACATAATTTTATTTTATTTTCAAACATTATTTTATCTTCAGAATCTTAACTTTTCTAGTGATTTGGACCAACCATCAGGAATGACCGCGCTAGAAGGATTTCAATCGAAGATCAGTGCTTGAAAAAATAGGTATACTATCTTTAAAATAAAATAATATTTTAAAAGTTAATGTTTTCTCTTTCTAGATTAACATCGATAATTAAATAAATAATGAAATAAATGTCAAAGATCGGAGAGAAAACTACATACCAACATCAGCATCAAAAATAATTTTCTCGTTTCCCTTCAGTTCTTTTACCAGGACATAATCTCGGACATCTTCATCAATATCACGTCCTTCTGTTCTGAGTTGCATTTGCCGGAAGTTCTCATGGCGCAGATGTCTGATGGAGTGAACATGCTGTATCAAATTAAATTTGGCTTTTGTTGAAAAATTGCACAAACGGCAGTGGAAGTAATGCGCCTCAGCCTTCAAAGAGTGAACACCAATCTGTAGATGCGAGAAGATTCTGGCATTGGCTTCGTGTCTGGGACTGGCAATATGCAGCTGCAATTTATGAATGCTGTTGGTGTAGTAGTCACAAGCATTGCAACGAACTTGTACGGGATTACTAACATTTGCATATTTCAACTTCCATTCGGTGCTGGCACCACCTTCTTTGACATGATTTACATGCTGGAGGCGTTGCAGATGCTTGTCAGTCTTACAGTGCAATTGAAAATTTGCTTTGAGATTGGTTTTGTAGGTGCAAAGCTTGCAGATGTAAGTGCCAGCTACAACCATTAAAACTTCTTCTTCTCGCTGTCGCGTTCGATCCATCTGCGCATGTTGGTTTAAGGCTTCCAGAGAATCGGCAGAATAAACGTGACACACGCAGCATTGGAAAAGCTTACCATTTTCATCATACGGCACATCAGGTCTTAAGGATGGGTCGGGATGATCAATGTCCAATGTGGGAGGAACGCTGAGATTTAGAGGTGCTCCAATAGGACTTTTTCCACCAGCAGCTGCTGCAGCAGCGGCGGCCGCAGCCATTGCCCGTTGTTGCTGTTGTTGAGTTGCCATCATAAGTAAGGCATGGTTGTATGCCATGTCGGCTAAGGCTGCCTCTGGTTGTAATTGGGAATCACAAGGCAGTAGAAGACCCGGGTGAAAGTTGAACATTGGATCCATTGCTTGAGCTTGCGCCTGAGCCTGGGCTTGAGCTTGTTGAAAAGCAGATATCTGTTGCATGTGTTTAACATTTTGCTGTAGAACCATCATATTGTGATTATGTTTTTCACTTGTCATGTGAATTCTTAAATTGCGAGCGACATTAGTTTCATAATTGCAAACATCACATCTCCAGGTAGCTTTAGGCTTATTTGTGATAATTGGTTTCTTTGCTGCTTCTACTACTGCTGGAGGAGTAGGTAATGCTGGTGGAGCAGCAATAGTTTGATTTGGCATAACATGGTCAGGTTGTAAGGTACCATTCTGCAATTCTTGCACATTATTGATATGCTTATCAGACTGCATGTGTATACTTAGGTTTCCTTTGGTCGTAGTAGAATAATTACAAACTTCACAACGATATGGTTTGTAACCGCAAGTGTATGTTTCTCCACGAGCTAATCTAGGATGTGATTGATTAGTCAGGCAGTATAAGCAACTCAAGTCGTTTTCAGGATGTTTTTCTTTCATGTGAATTTCTAAAGTTTCTTGGTATTTATAATGCCAATTGCACTTAGGACACTTGAGCGTCTTACATGAATTTCGCGAATGCATCATTGTCATATGACCGCCCAGCGATCGTGATGAGCCAAGGATTAAATCGCATTTCGGACATTCGACTCCGTTCGCCCGTCCATCCGGATGTTGAGGACAAATGCAGACAGGACTACTTGTAGTCGGTGATGGAGAAGGAACTGTATTTAGTAATGGACTTGGCGTTGGATTGTTCTTTGGAGATACCCTAGACATGCCAGGCGACATACTTTCGTGACTGCCAGCACTCGTAGGCCTGTCTAGTGAACCCATCGATACAGCCGATGATAATGTAGGATGAGGGCTGAAATCGAATGGGTTTAACCTAAGGTCTTGATCTTCTTGTGCAATATCACTGTTCTGGCCATTATAGCAAGTGGTCTTACGTTCTCTAGGCGATAGAGAAGATGCAGATTCAGCTTCCGCAGCCGCTGCGGCAGCTTTAGCAAGCTTCTCTATCGTCATTAAGTCCTGCAATTCAGGAGCTAAGGCCTCATCGCTATCGGCAGTAAGTAAGGAACTAGTAAGAGAGGGCGTAGTTCTCATTTCCGCCCTACTGTTGGCGACACTTGGTTTGATTTCTGACAATGCCGCAACAGGACTGGAGACGGCCGAAACCAGCGTCGTGATTGCAGAAGAGCCATAACCCCCAGCCACTGCACTAGACACGGCATTCAGTAAATTAGTCATAGGATCGTTTGATCCGAAGGAACTGGAACATGAGCTCTGCAATGACTGGGCGAAAATATTTCCACTCTGACTCCCCGCACTATTCTGGGCTAACGAACTAGGAATTGGTTCCAGGAATGATAAGAGTGGTTCTTTCTCTTTCCCGACACCCTGTATGATTGCCGAAGTGTTCTTTTGGGACATAATGTTCTTTTCTTCATCGTTCATATTTATGTTGTGTTCACCCATCGCATGGGCGACAAAAGATTTAGCGTAACCAAAAGAAAGTTTGCACATAAAACACATCAATATAGGTTTTATTGGTACAGAAGAATAGTCTACCATAGGAAAGTTAACTTTGTTTACACTGGACGGCCTCTTTAGAGAGCCATCATCGTCCAATTTGCTAGGCGAAACAGTTACTGGCGTTTCACTGGTAACATCACGCACCGTGAAAACTCTAAAACTGTGCATAACAGGGACATCAGGAACTTTATTTTTTTCTTGAAGGAAACTGTACGCCTGTCCGTACAAAGCACTATATAGTGCCGGATTTCTAGCGATGTGTAGAGCGTTCACCATATGTGGTATGAGTTGGGATGAAGTAGGAATTCGTGACGCCGCGTCATCGGCAGCTCGCGATAACAATTCTTCGCTCCCATCATCATCACTAAGCTCCGAATCACCGGCCGTCTCTAAAATGAAAGCGGAACCATCCGGATTGTACACGATCTTTCCGGTGAAGTTCTCCACGTCGCTAGCTGAGCTGTTGGACAGCTCATTGCAAAATAGGCTGCTAGAAGCCCCGACTCCCGCGGACGGGTAGTGCGAGGTAGGAACAGAACAATGTCTACTACTACCACCACCGTCCGTAGAAGGAGGGGTGGTCGTCGAATTAAGTCCCACGTGCGGCGACACTTCACACACGTGTTCCATATAGTGGTTTGTAGTGTGAAACTCCCGCCCGCAGGAATCGCATTTCTTGATGAACTTCGGGCAAGGAGTTCGTGAGGAACTTGATGGACGTTCAGGAACCCTCGTTTGTTGCTGTAGATCGGCGATTATTACCGCCTCTTGGCCTTCTTCTGGCGTCATTTCCCTTTTTAACACCGATGGCGCCGCCAGGTGCTGATACTGTTGGTCCGAAAGTGAGCCACTAGACTCCTGCTTAACGCGTTGCTGCTGCTGCTGTAGTTGGCCGGTGTCCACGGTAGGAACATCTGTATCCATGCTGCTTCATGAATATCCGCTATGTCATGGTAGTGAGTACCATCCACCACTGCAAAAGAAAAATTGTTTAATAATCTCGACATTAAAAAGCAGTAGACACACATCTATATACATTTTAACACAACGTTTGGATTATGTTCATAAAATTACGTTTTTATCGTTGTTATAATGGTTACCTTTAATTAACAACAATATTGTTCTATTTATATGCAGCCCAGAAAAAATCCTTCCATCATTTAAGCAACATTTCGTTTCAAAATGCTGATGTATGAAAGATTTTCTTTATTCGAAATTGAATGAATAAGGGCGAAAAAAAGGAATAAATGAAATAAAGAAAGTAAGAGTAAATGCATTAAAATTGTAAAATAAGAAGTGAATGACAGAACAAAATAAATGACTAAAGTAAAAAAAAATAATAATGGGGGAAATTAATTAATCAGTAAGTAATTAAAAAACTTTGAAAAATAAAAAAAACGGACAGTTATTAAGGCAGTAAAGGAAAAATGAATAAATAAAAATAAAAATGAATGAAGGAAAAATAAAGGATTAAAAATAAAATTAAAAAAAAAAAACAAATCTAGTTAAAATGTATAGCTTGTTGACGGACAGAAACGCGATAATAGTCTATTTTTTTAAACTCTAACAACACTGGTATACGAAGTACCTTGTCCATTCATCTCAAATTATTGGAAGAAGAAAAAAAAAGCCGCTAAAATTTCCGAGTTAACAAAATAAACTTTCCGATGAAGTTTAATCCACTTCGACCCAATAAAGCACTTTGACACTGCGATGAAAGAGGCACAAAGAGTGATGACTTCAAAAGAGCTTAGGAAAGAAACGTTTATTTCGGCATTTCATTTTCGATTATTACAAGCACGCGCTGATAAAAGGAACACCAAGACAATTATAAACCACCCGTAAAAGTCTTCTTCGATAATTTTTCACAAATTGCTTACAAATAGCGAAGAATCACATACTTGTAGGCATCAAAGAAAACGCCTTTTCGCTCCTATTTACAATGGTCATTCAGCATCGGGGCTTTTCTTTCAAATATATATATATAAGGTCTCCTGCCAACTTTTCCACTTAGGCCTCACGACGAATGAAAGAAAAGAAACTATTAGAGAAAAGAAGAAGAAAATAACAAGCGCATAGACTTAGAGAGAAAAAGAAAAGATCCAACTGAAAAGAAAAGGGGAAGAAACGGTGGACAAAAGGCGGAATAGCGTAGTTAGTTGTAATTGCATCAAAATGAGTTGAGTTACCAATTCCACCCTCTAATAGTCGAGTCGCTAAACCAGTTTACCGGTGCTGATGCTCGGCCATCCGGTTCAAAAGGGAGAAGAAGACCAACTTCAACACTTAGCAATAATTTGGCATTCATAGGCAAAGATGCGTGCCGATGGCTGGCCTTCTGCAGTGCCATAAAATGATGCCTATTCACATATGCATGAGGGAACGCATAAAGCACAGAAATTTTGTTTTGTGTTTTTGAGAATCTTCATTATTTATGCAAGATGAAAAATAACGTACCCGCAAAGAATCAAGAATGAGGTATTATAATACAGTAATGAAAAGCTTCTTTGTCGCTCAGATTTTATCACCACAAATAACTCCATTAAGCTCAGTTGCTTTAGACACCTTAATAATTATACTTTACCTTTTCAGGAATTGATAGTTTTAGTTAGTTTGATGGCAGGAGTAATGATTTTTGAGAGTTGTATAATACAGTAAAAAATACCGCACGTAGAATGTCTCTAGTATTGCACAATTTGGGAAGTTTCGTTAACTTCGAACGACTGAAGGGAACTTATATTTCAAAATTAAATACAGTCAGTTCTTGTCTTAGTTGTTCCGTCCATTTTATTATTGAACGGAAATACATACGTATTATATGCTGGATAAAATAAAATGGAAAAAAAAATTAAATCAGAAATTTAAATTAAAAATGAAGAAAAAAAGAACTAAAGTAACGAATAACGAAAGGTAGACTGCGCTATTCCTGTAAATGCAAATCAAGTAATTTAAAAGCAAAAAAAAAAAATCCAAGAATACAGAATGAAAAATAACTCTGTAATGAAATTCATCAACATAGACTTAAACATAACCCTATAGTGCAATTCATTAAACGATACTAAAATGTAGCTCCAAGCAAAACTCAATTAATATTTAATGACACTCGGTATATTAACAGGAAATGCAACATGATTATAATCTAAAAACCAAGAAACAATTCCTAAAATTCGACTGAAAATGAATAGTACTTTTAGGTCAATTAAATATTTTAAAGTATCTTAGTACGATATTTACACTACATTTTTGATAGGGCTGTCAGAAATATAAATAATTTATGATATTTCATGCCCAATTTGATGCAGCTCAGAAAAATAGCTTTCTGAATACATAAAATCAACCTTCAGGCAATGAAATTAGATCCTATTTCGAAAAAGTAACGGTTACAAAACAGAATAATGGCTAAATACCTTTTCAGGAAACATAATTGTAGACCTCGCTACCAGTAATAAGATTGTCTGGGAGAAATAAATGCAATAAATGCTTTTCATCGAGAGTAGCCTATCAGAAATAAAATTAATTTTGATCACAAGTGAAGCAGGTAAAGATCACGAGGCAATTTAATTTGATCACCAATTCACGAAAGTAGTCCTGACAATTTTCTGAAGCACATTATTTACTCAGGTTTAACTTTTATGATTAAAGAATAATAAATAAAAAAAATCCAATTCTTTTACATATACGGTTTTCCATTAATGCACTATTAGCTTAAAGAATCCCATCAAGTAAAATGGAACACTAAATAAAGTACAATTATTTATATTTTTCGACAATCATTAAGAAAAAAGGTAGTTTGTTGGTTGAAATTGTCAATGCCGTTTATGCAAGGACATTTAAATGTAAGTGATTCAGGAAGTTTTATAAGATATAAATAATTTTATGATTTAGCCCTGGTGTTTGTATAAGATGCCATCTTAATAAACTTACAAATAGGGTTGAGACAATAAATCAGTGTTTTTGATGAAAAGATTTATTTCACAAATAAAACTATATATCAAATTGCTAAAACGAGAATTATAAAATTTATTTGATCAAAATAATGTTTTTGCAGTAGACATTCGTGTGATTTGTTTTTGTCAAGCTTCAAGTTGCAATCATCTTTAAGAGTGAAAGATGTATTAAAATATCGCGTATATGCCTGGGAAAAATGAATAGCATACATATTAACAAGATACAGAGTGTCACACAGTACAGAAAATAAATTGCAAACATATGCACAAGATAAAGTGTGACACCAGGTGCAGGAAATTAATTGCTAAAATGTGCGAATAATAGCAAATGAAGAGGAGAAGAATTGCAATCATAAGCAGAAGTATGAAGTGTATAATATGGTGCAGAAATGATTTTCAAATATATTCACAGAATGAAATTTGCCCATGGTGTAGATTTATAATAATCATCATAAGTTTGGAAAAGCTAGACAAAAAAAAAATTGCAACATCCACTAATCTAATTTTTTAAAAAAATGAACAGAATTAGGTTTATCAGTGTTGCCCTTATTCTAAAAATATTAAAAAAATATCTTACTAACAAAAGAATTAATAAAAGAAACAAAACTTATAACGAGATAAATTAAAAATAAAAGCACAAGATTTTTATGGTACACCAGAGAGTTGTGGAATTTTGAGAAGATAGCTTTTGGAATATGAGGTTTAAACTAACCCGTTACAGGTTTATATATATATATAGANCGTTATGGGTTTTTCTATATATATTGCAAGGTTATTACTAACCCGTTACGGTTACTTTAATTTTGTTCATTCATGTGTGGCTTTTAAATAAATGTGATTTTTACAAAAAAAAAAAAAGAAGTGTTTCTTAATATAGCTTGAATCGTTAAACCCTTTTAATTTTTAACGCTGGGCCATTAGATTTACTCAAGTGCCTGTTAGAAAAATGATATTGATAAATATTTAAACAGAAAAATAACAGTATACCGTAACTGAACTTATGCTAACTCCAAATATTAGCGATATGAAATAATTTATATATTTTTTATATATGTTTTTAAGTAGAGAGCAATAAAATTTAATGTAAGTCTTATTTTTGAAAAAAAAATGCCTTCAAGCCTTATCATAACAACTTGTAATTGAGATTCATATCAAATTTGAGATATAAAACATATATTTGGAAAGGTAAAAAGCACCGAAGGATTCCTCAAAAACTAAGACATAAACAATCATATTAGGTTCCAGTAACAACAACTAAAAATCGCCACTGTTTTTCTTTTGATATTTAAGACCAGCACATAGAGAACACGAACAAAAATTGGAATTCAGTAAAAGCCCACAATTTTCAAGAAAAAGAGACAGCAAACACCGGCATTCAAATCATGTGTTTTGGAACTAGGGGGTGGAGATATTCTGCTTCCATGGATTCTTTTTTCCTCACAGAAAATAAGAAAAAGAGCTCGAATTTCATGCATGGCCAACGCTCCTAATTGTGTCGGCTAATAGGGATGAAAGCATGCGGCGGATGGACTATCTTCAATGAAAGATGGGCGCTTCCTCATCTATCAAAGTGACACAGGGATGCGCTTTGCTCTTCCTTTTCTTTTTTTATTCCTGTGTCGGCTTTTATTTTGCATTCTTCTGATAGCCTCAAAATAAATAAAATCTGCAATCGACGCAAAAATTACATATTCTAGTCTTGTGAACGACTATTTTTGAAGAGTTAAAGATAAGTCATTAAGAAATTGAAAAATATTTTTATACTTCAAATGGGTTAATTAATTTCCACTCAAAAACCAATATCATACTAATTTTACTTCAGTATGGGCAATTTTAGAATATTTATGTTTTTATTTATTTTTAATAATTATGGGAAAAACCACAAGAGCTTTAAAAGCTGTCGTTATTTTATAACTAGATGAATTATTGTAGTAAGGAGATGTAGTAGTATAATATTATACAACTGCCTACTTAAACATTATTTGCATAATAAAATAAATAAAAAATATAAAAAAAGAAAGAAAAA